ATTTTAACTGTGGGCAGTTGTGTACCAAGCCCTAAACATGTTTACACATTTATTTTTTCACAAAGGTCAACCCAAAGCTAATAAAATACCTCAAGACTTTTAAACAATTTAATCAGCTAGATTAGATACCATTATTCCCACTAAGATATTTTAAAGAAAAAAAAGTGAAATTACTTGCCATTGGGTTGTCAAGAACTTGTTTGGCCATCAATGGATAGCGGATAGCGGATTGTATTAGTGGATAACAGATTATATTAGCTGATTTGACCAGCGAATTGCATTAGCGATTTTTAAATAAATGTTTGGTAAATAGCTGAAAGCTTATAGCTGTTTGACATTGCAAACTACCAATAAGGACATTTTTATTATTTAGGGTGTATTCTTTTAATAATAATATATTAAAACATTTAATATTCTTTAGTTGGTAATTTATAAGTATATCATTGTTTTTAAAATTTACTAACACTTGATTAAGAAGTTATAAATTTTATATTTCTCTAGATAAATTAATCATATGGATGACATATTATTATTTATTAGCATCATAAACCAATGTAAATTGTAAAATAAATAATACAAATTAAAAAGTTCCAAATTAAAATAGTAGATTGTGAATCCTCTTCCCAAAAAGCTCCTCTAATTAGCTTTTTCTAAATTAAAGTTTTGGGCCCAAAAAGCTCAAATAAGCTATTTACCAAACAAGCTCAATAGCGGATTTGACGGGTCAAACCTCTCAATTAAGTCCAATCCGCTAATTTATCTTCAATCCGCTATCTTCCAAACGGGGTCAAAGATTAAAATTTACAGGTTGCATATTTTTTTAAAACGATAGAAAAATATATAAATTAAAAAAACACGTAATTACAACTAGATAGTAGGTAGAAATTGCCAATCAGGTTGAATCTAAAAGGCCTACACAGAGGTAAATTAGAAACAATTAAATTAACGCACATGATACACCAAATTATACATCTCCCACAGGTGGAGAATACAAATTTTTAAAAAGGAGAAAACACGCTTTCAAAGGGGAGATAGACAACAACACAACAACTAAAACATAAAAAAAAAAAA